GAAACATGCAAATGTATCATGGTTTGCCGAAATGTACAATTCTAACATTTTCCTCAGTGACTGGACTGATCCATGGCTGTAAATTACAACCCGCACATATAGATTTCTGCGCCATCTCAGTCACGCTGACAAGCAACCATCCATCAGCTGGAGAGACGATTGAAATTTTAAACATAAATCTGTCTCAGAGGCAGCATCATCAGCTCAGCTTCTGAGTGGTTCTGTCATCAGTCTTTTCTAAAAAAGTGTTTCCAGAGTTTACGACCTGTATTTTAAGATAAATGTCTTATATAACATTTGGCGAGTAATTTGTGAGCATTCAAAAAAAAAAATACAGATCCAGTAAAGTTTGTACAAAATATTTTATACCTACCATACACTAGGAGACTTTGAAAATACCTTTATACAAGTTAAGTCAAACACCCTCTCACATCATAAGACAGTTTGAGTTTTTAGTCACAGACTATAAGATTTTGCAAACACTGGGGATCTTGCAGGGTCACAGTTTGCTAGACCACAACTAGATTCCTTTCTAGATTATTTCCCATCCTGCTCCTGGTGGAAAATATAAGGCCAATCTCCCTTTTAGAAATGTGACATCATAACGTTTTCGTGCATGTCCACAAACATGTGTCGTATGTCGACATTATTCTTGTCAATTCATGCCTCAAAATATCACTTGAATAAAAGTACTTAGTTACATTCCACTGCTGGTCAGCATGGTGGGAAGACACTTTTCTCCTCGCTTGTGTTGCTGTGTCCTCCAGTCAGATCTGTCGGGCGCCCTCGGGGACTGTGTGAAGGCCATCTGTGGAGGAGACGACTAACTAACACACCTGAGGTCCACCTGAGGCCGAGAGGTCTGCTTCCTTTTGAACTCACACTGTCGTTCTCTGATACTTCTACTTTACTTCCATCTTCAAACTAACTGATAACTTGTTTACGGTCGTAAGGCAACAGACAGCTTTAAAAGACAGACGTCATATTAAATTATAAAAGGACAGAGAGATGTCTGGAGAGACACGCAGATCATTAAAGACTGATTTGTGAACATGAAACTGTTAACTGAAGTTTTAATATAAAATTCTGTTTTGTTTTCAGTCTGATTGCGGAGGGAAATATGGAAAGACTCTGCTAAAGATTTGTGGAGGAGACGATGATTAATATCAACATGTTTGGCTCTCACTACATTTTTTTTTTTTTTTTTCATTTCTGTCATTTTATCATTTTTATCAACCCTAACATCCACATGGCTTTAAATACAATACTACACATGGACTTTATTTATTGCATAAGGAACTGCCCAAACATAAACCTACTATGAAAACACAGCTTTTAGCAGTTTTCAATGCATTTGTTGCTTCATTTGTACATCGTTATTTTCCTTCTGCTTTTTGATAGGTCTCTATATGTAGAAGATGTTACAAATAATGTTACAGCTAAAATTAACAATCAGCCCTACAGTACTGTAGTCATGCAGCAAGCTCACAGTAAAGAGTGACTTCTATATTACAAAAATAATAATAAGTTTGTCTTCACTAAAAATCTTCATTCTTGAATCTTTGTAACTTCCAGATATAATAATAAAACATGTCATAAATTATTCACTGCTGGTGATATTATTTATTTTAGACTCTCTTCACACATTAATAATTATCACTTTTAATGCTCTGGATTTAAAAAAAATGTTTTCAGGAATTGTTATGATTTTTGTTGTTTACATTCAGCATGTTTTCTTTGGTTTCTGACGCTGCAAGTCACTGCAAACGCTTCATTTTTCCTCAGTGCATCTGCTTGGGAAAATGTATGCTGCGTTTCAAATTGCATACTTTTTCTAGTCTGCTAGATGGATCTTGCCCAACTTTCCGACTTGAATGACTGTTCTGTTGCACTTTTTTTGTATCAAAGGCCTTTTTTTCCGAGGTCCATGTACAGTGCTTCGCAGCATTCTACAGCTGGGTCAATACACTAAGCTGCTGATTGGGGTTGTGGATGTGTTACTACATCCATGATTGGGCAACACCTCTGACACGCCCACCGAACAAGAAAAAAAACGTACCTCAACTGTTGCACACCATTTCAAAAGTGATGCTATTTTAGTCTTGTTTCCTGGGTGGGTGACATCTTCAACTGGTATGTTTCATCTATTTATTTATTGTATGTTTTATTTGTATAGGGACAAGTATGCAGCATACATTAATGCCACACACCACAGCATTTGTAGCCAAAACTAATTTGCAGCTGAGCCTTAAGATACAAAAGACTCAGCGACAAGAACACAAGTAACAGTGCAAACTACAAACAATAAAAATACAGATGGAATAATGCAAGACACAACTTGCAATACATAATTAGCATCATAGAATAGGAAGCACCAAATTATTCATGACTGCATAACTGATTCCCCTTCAAAAACTATTTCAGTTTGAGTTTATAGTAAGGCTGTAGCCATGGAGTCAACACTGGGGGGGAACAAATCTGCATTCTGAACACAGAAATATGAGCAAAACACATTAACAGCAAGATCTAACGTCTTCATGGAAAACATTTTACATTCAGTTAGCACATCTCCACAGAAGTTTCAACTCTATGGTTTCTCCTGTGTTTGTTGATCCTCTGGTATTTTGTTAAGTATCCAATTTGTGAAAAGCTTTTCCCACAAGTGCTGAAATTATGGTCTCTTCACTTGTGTGAGTTCCAGTGGAATACTACTTGTCCGTATGCACTTATATGGCTTTCCAATTCAAACACAGAGACAAATCTTTCCCCACAGGTCTCGCAAAAGTACGGCTTCTCATCAGTGCGGGCTTTCTTCATGTGGATTGGCACTTGATTCTTGCGTCTGAAATCTTTCCCACGTTTTACAAGAATACAGCTTCTAACCCGTGTGGAAGCCGGAAGCCTTTGTGACGTTTGAATTGTTTCCTACAAGTTTTGCAAGAATATGGTTTCTCATCTGTGTGGCTTATCATGTGGACTTTAACTCACAATTGTGTCTGAAAGCTTCCCCACATGTTCCGCATTAGATGGCCTCTCACTTGTGTGTGTGTTCTCATGTGGGCTCTCAAACCGCTTTTAAGTCTGAGATCTTCCCCACATGTCTTACAAGTATACCGCCCTGTGTGGATGCTTACATGATTTTACAATGCAGACATGTTAAAGAATGTTTTCCCACAGGTGTTGCAACGGTGTGGCTTCTCACCACTGTGAGCTCTTCTGTTGTGGCTTTGCCGCTCACTTTTATGTTTGAAAGCTCTCCCGCATTTTTGCATGTAAAGGGCCTTTCATCTGAGTGTGATCTCATGTGGGACTCCAGGCGACTATTATAGAAATAATCTTTCCAGGGCGTCGGTAGCGTAGTGGATAGTGCCGGCGCCCCATGTACAGAGGCAGTGCTTTGCTGCAGCGGTCGCAGGTTCGATTCTGGCTTGAAACCCTTTGCTGCATGTCATCCCCCCACTCTCTCTCTCTCCCCATTTCACACTGTCCTGTCAATTAAAGGCAAAAAGCCCAAAATTAATCTTAAAAAAAAAAAAAATAATAATAATAATCTTTCCCACATATTTTGCAAGAATATGGCTGTATAAGTGAATATAGACGGTGCAGGCAGTGCAGTTGCACTGGGGCCTGTGAAGTGGGGGGCCCATAGAGAGAATGGGCCCTTCAACAATGTGTTGGGTGGAGAATGGGCCCTAATGAGTGATTGCCACCTAGGAAATATTCCTGTGTTCAAAGAGGAACCCTCATTAAATTAAAAACAGTGCCATTTGCTATATGTGCACATTAAAAAGGGAAAACCCATCTCCCATCTTTTTTTTCCCCGTAAAATAGTCAATAGCGTCTCTAACAAACTTATATGCTTATTCCAAATAAACTATAATAAAACATTAAATACTTTAAATTAATCATTTCTCATTTTTCCTTGGTTATTTTGTCATATACAGATATGTAATGATGATTGCTGGGTGATATGTATGTTTATGTTATCCAGTGTCAGGTCTCTGATTATGTGACCAGACGATATGTGCACCATAGTTTACATTATTGGGTTCCATCATAATAATGTGCACTGGGGCCTGTCATATCTACCTTATGTCACGGGACAGTGGTTTTGAGGTTTGGGGAAAAACATCAACTTGTATTTATTCTGTCTGATTATTGCTGACACTCTGTGTATGCTAAGGGCCATTCTGCCTTTTCCATCCCGAGGACATTTCATTCATAAACATGCATGAAAGGTTATTGAATTAATACATCATATCAGGCAAAGTGTCCTGCACTGTCCGAATTGCAATTTAAGGATACATTACTTAAAACTGTACTGAAAAACTACATATAAAACTGAAAAAATAGGATTTTACCCCGCCTCCACCATTTAACTCAATATTTCACCATGAAATTTAGTGAATCCTGTAGGATTTTTTTGTATTATTGTGACTCTGTTTCCAATTTAGACAAAAATTACTTTCATCTTAAAAATGTGTTAGCTAAAATACACCTTTTAATCATGTCCCCTGGTTTTCAGTCAGTCCTGTTACCCTAACACATTCCCGTCTACAAATCTGGGACATTACCTATTTTATACAGTCTATGGACATAACACAAGTCACATGATCAACAGGAAGTAGCCTCAGTCTCCTGGAGGCCATGTGAAGACACTTAGTATTTTTGTCACTTTAGGTATTTTTTTATCATATTAAATATGACTGGAGAATGTCAGTCTCTAGCTCATAGAATTTCCCCAATTTACTTCAATAACGATTATGTAATGACTGTTAATAAATTCAGTGTACTTCAAATGTCATATTTAACATGCACAGAATGCATATTTTATATTTATAAAATTTTATATGTATATATAAAATGTCATGTTTGAAATACATACATTAATCACATTAAAAAAAAATTCTGATATCTGGCAAATAATGTTATCCACACAAGCTGACACTCATCCACGTTACACCATGAGTATAAGTCACCACTGAGCCCTCGATGTGAAACTAACATTTTCCTTTATTTGACAGATTACAGTTTTCTCAGAGAAATATTTAGCCAACTGAAATATAAGTAATACAGTCATGTGAAGGGACACTTTACAACAAGATACTGACATCTCATCTGTATTGAAAACATGATATATTCGGGTAAGGAGATGTAGCTACTGCAAAAGTGTGTTTTATTCATTTGGTGAATACGTCTCAACTCTATGGTTTCTCTTGTGTTATGTTGCTCTTCTGCTTTTTTCCCCAAGTACGTGATTTCAGTAAAACTTTCCCTTCAAGTGCTGCCATTATGTGGCTCCTCACTTGTGTCATTGTCAATAGGAAACAACTGGTCTGTATGCACACTGATATGACTTTCCAATTCAGATTCTGATAGGAATCTTTCCCCGCAGGTCTTGCAAAGGTACGGTGTCTCATCAGCGTGAGCTCTCTTCATGTGGACTGTCAGTTCGTAGTTCCGTCTGAAATCTTTCCCACATGTTTCACAATAGTACGGCTTCTCACCCGTGTGGATTTTCATGTGGCGCAGTAAGCTATCGTTACGTCTGAAGTCTTTCCCGCATGTTTGGCAAGAAAATGGCCTCTCACCTGTGTGGATTCTCATGTGGACTGTCAAGTCACTATTGTATCCAAAATCTTTTCCACATAGTTTGCAGGTATACGGCTTCTCACCCGTGTGGATTCTCATGTGAACCAACAAGTCACTATTAAGTCTGAAATCTTTCCCACATGTATTACAGGTGTATGGCTTTTCACCTGTGTGGATGCTAATATGTCTCTTCAATACAAACATGTCACAGAATGTTTTCCCACAGGTGTTGCAAACATACAGCTTCTCACTACTGTGGGCTCTTTTCATGTGGACTGTCACTTCACACTTACGTCTGAAATCCTTTCCACATATTTTGCAAGTGAACGGCTTCTCACCTGTGTGAATTCTCATATGGAGCAGCAAGCCATCAGGACGTCTGAAATCCTTCCCACATATTTTACAAATATACGGCCTCTCCCCTGTGTGGATTCTCATGTGAACCATAAAGTCACTGTTATATGGGAAATCTTTCCCACATATTTTACAAGTATATGGATTCTCACCAGTATGCGTTCTCATGTGCACCAACAAGTCACCATGACGCCTGAAATCTTTCCCACATGCTTTACAAGTATAGGGTTTCTCTCCTGTGTGGATTCTCACATGCCTGTTTAACACTGACATCTCACAGTAACCTTTCCCACAGAACTTTCAAAGGTACGGCTTCTCACCTGTGTGGGCTCTTCTCATGTGGACTGTCAGCTCATAGTTACGTTTAAAAGCTTCCCCACATGTGTTACATATAAACTGCCTCTCACCTGTGTGTGATCTCATGTGGGCTGACAGGCGATTACTATATAAAAAGTCTTTTCCGCACATTTTGCAAGAATATGGCTTCTTAACTGTGTGGACTCTCAGGTGTTCCCACAATACTGATTTATATTTAAAACTGTTGCCACATTTTTCACATTTGAAAGACTTTTTACCTGCGTGAGTATTACGATGAATCTCTGACAAGTTTGAGTTGCTGACATTGTTACTGTAATGTCTTCTCTTTGGTTTTGGTTCTGAGTCTCCATGTTTGTCTCCTCTCTGATCTCGGCTCTCAATATCAAACGAGTTGTGGTAGATGAGCTGGTGGTAACTGTGCTCTTCTGATACCACGGGGCTTATACCTGGTGTGTTGACCTCAAACTCCTCCTCTGCTGCACTTAGAGCATCATCAGGACTGAAGTTGAGAGTCTGATCTTCACTGTGGTCTCTTTCCTCATGAGTAGGAATCAACATGGAGGCATCAGTCTCCTGCTTCAGCACAAGCTGCTCTCCCTCCTGACTGGTGCAGAGTTCCTCCTCTTCCTCTTTAATCTGTGGAGGCTCTGGCTCCTCTTGGTCCACACTGGAGTTCCTCTCCTGAATACAGAGCTGCTGCTCAGAGAGAACCTCCTCCTCCTTACACACATGTTGCTGTGGGAGCTCTGGAGGGACACACAGCAGAAGGGACACGATGCTAATGGGATGGTAGAGAAACACACGAGCACATTAGCACCAGCATGTAAATTATCACATTTTACCCACCTATCCTGTGTAACTTTATTTCAGGTTTCCAAACGACATCCAACAGCCTCCTCTGACGGTCGATCTCTTCTTCATACTCGACGATAGTTTTATGAAAAACTCCGAATATTTCTTGAGCAGCAGCAGTTAGTCTCTCATTAACAAACTCTCTCAGATACTCAGCTGAAGACATTGCTGCTTTGTTACAAAAATAAGTGACCAAACGCGCTGCGACTGTCGTTTTCCAGCTAATTCAAAATATCCATAAAGCTAACGCTACTAGCGCTTGTATTGTTTACTTCCGGTAGATGTCACCCTGTGAAGTTCCGACAGCGGAAGTGAGCTGGCTGTTCCGTTCGTTCCGCTTTCAAATCTGTTAAAAACAGTCCTCGTGCGATGCAAATTAGTTTCATTTGAATTGAATAATATTGTTTAAAGTTGAAATAATAGATGTAGTTGGTTTTTGGTGGCTTGTTTCTGTGCTTTTGTATAGTGCGTTTGCCTTAATGTGCTTTGGTTTTATGGTGATGTCACTGTCTTGCTAACTGTCCTTATGTGTTTTGTGCTTTTGTGTGTTTGTTTGTGGCTGTGTGCTTTGGTCTACTTTGTGTTTTATTTTGTACTATTTTATAGTGCGTTTTTAATGTTTTTGGTTATTTGGTTATGTCATTGTTTTATCAATAGTGCTTATGTCCTGTTGTTTTTGCTTATGTGCTTTTGTCTATGGTTATATGTTGCTCTGTGCTTATGTACCCTTCTATGAACATGCTATCAATCTGCTTTTATCTGTGCTTTTGTGTTATTTTAATTTCTTTTTATTATATCCCCATAAACCATCAACCTGCCAGGGACTGCAGATGAAAATGAGCCTGTATGGCTAAATCTGGCACATTTATGTGACTTAAGTGATCATGTTCATTAATGTGCACTGTCCCTTCCTAAATTAAATAAACATAGACATAAGCCATATTGAGGTTTGGGGGGAAACAACCTTGAGTTTCTCTCTGATATCTGCTGCAAATCTGTGTGTGATATGTACAGTGGATTTTTGAACACCAAGTTTTGATCCTAAAAGATGAGCAGGCCAGTTAAGAACTAGAATTACTGCCTTGCGGTTGTATGCCTCCGTGCAACAGGTAAGTTGCAGTTGACAATGCTTCATATATGGATGCTGCCGTTGCAAAGCTACAAATTATTTCCCCCAGCAGCACAGATCTATACAATCAGCACAGTTTCAAGGTGGGCATCTGAGATTACTGTCTCCAATTCAGTGTCAGACCAAATGTCTACCCTCCTCTTCCTGAGATATGATGCTGAATAATGGCCTGAAAAGTGTTTCTGCAGAACATTATGATGTCACAATGAAGTTGACCCTTTACTGTTTGGATTTAAAATGACATCACTTCATTGTGTTATCCGATTAGACATTTGTGTGAAATTTTGTCATAATTAGCGCATTAGGTCTTGAGTTACGGCCAAAAACATGTTTATTGAGGTCACAGTTACCTTTGACCTTTAATCTGCAAATTCTACGCAGTTCTTTCTTGAGTCCAAGTGGCCGTTTGTGCTCAACTTGAGGAAATTCTCACAAGGCTTTCTCGAGATAACACGTTTATTAGAATGACATGGATATAAGATCATAATGACCTTGACCTTTGACTAGCAAAATCTAATCAGTTCATTGTTGAGTCCAAGTGGCCGTTTGTGCCAAATTTAATGAAATTCTCTTAAGGCCTTCTTAACATACTGCGTTAACGAGAATGACACAGACACAAGATCACAGTGACCTTTGACCACCAAGTTCTAATCACTTCATTGAGTCCAAGTGGCTGTTTGTGCCAAATTTGACCTTTTATTTCAGGATTTTCAATGTAAAACAAATGCTCCGTACATCATTTTAACAACTCAGTCACAAATATCTTCACAGGTGGAAAAACAAAAAACAAATCGTAGGACTTCAAAATTACTGGTAAAATAAAATACATGTACACAGTGATAGAGGGTATATTGCTACTCAGACAATTACAATCCACTACTCCTGAGATACTCGAGTACAGGGCTCCATTGAATCTTATTCTCATTAGAAAACCTTAACCTTTCTAAATACAAAAGATTCATGGTCTCTCTTATCCACAGATCATATGTTGGTGCATAGTCTGACTTCCACATAAGTAGAATAAGTTTCCTTGCTACAGCCATTCCAAATGAAACAGCCTGAGTTTCATACTTGTTTGCCAAAGGTAACACTTGTGGCACCAAGGGCATCAACTAGTGGGTTAGGTTCCCAGTTCTTCTCAAAGGCATTTAGGACACATTCAAAAATACTCTTCCGATAAGTTAATGTCCAACATGTCCAAAGAGAATGTGTTAATGTCCCGTCTGCCTCTTTACACCAATGACAGAGGAAGGAAACATCTGTAGCCCATGCACTGTTTTAAATTGTATAAAATTGTGTCTAAAGTTAATTCAACATTTTTGCACACTTTCTCCTTCCAAATCTTATCGTTTAATTTGTGCCAAATTTGAGGAAATTCTCTCAAGGCTTTCTTGAGGTAACGCGTTTACGAGAATGACATGGACACAAGATCATAATGACCTTGACCTTTGACCAACAAAGTCTGATCAGTTCATTGCTGAGTCCAAGTGGATGTTTGTGCCAAATTTAAAAAGATCCTCTCAAGGTATTGTTGAGATATTGCATTCACAAGAATGGGATGGACGTACAGACATACTCACAACCCACAATAACGCCTCCAGCCACAGCTATCGCTGGCACAGAGGTATAAAAATCAGAATCTCTAAGCGGTATCTCCAGCCGTGATTTCGGTGCAACACTCAAAGAAATCGTCCGTTTTGTGAGGTTTAAATATTTCAACTACTTGTAGAATTTCTCTCCAACTGAGTCAAAAACCAAATAATACCATTTACATAATTAAATCAAACTGACATGAGTAGACAATGAGAATTTATTTAATTAATGCTCATAGAATTTACCTTATTTGCTTTAATAAAGTTCATGTATTTACTGTGTATTTAAAAAAATGTGGATGTTAACCAGCACATTTTAAATACAAGGAATTTATTAACAGTAACTACATGTAAAAACAAATCTGACACCTGGCAAATGCTGTCACGTCATCAGTCTAAAGTCTGCGCACTCACTGTGAAACTAACATTTACCGTTATTTGGTAGATTACAGTTGTTTCAAATAAAACACTTACCAAACGGAAATAAAAGCAATGTAGTCATGTGAAGGGAAACTTTACAGCAAGATAATATCATCTCATATTTATTTAAAGCAATTTATATTCTGTTACAGAGATGCAACACCTGCACATGAGTGTTTCATTCAGTAAGTGAACACGTCTCCACAGGAGTTTCAGCTCAATGGTTTCTCCTTCGTATGTTGGTCCTCTGGTATTTCTTTCAAGTATGTGATTTGAGTAAAACTTTACCTTTAAATGCTGCCATTATGTGTCTCTTCACTTGTGTGAGTTCTTATCAGTGTGGGCTCTTTTCATGTGGACTGTTAATGCATAGTTCCATCTGAAATCTTTCCCACATGTTATACAAGTGTAAGGCTTCTCACCTGTGTGGATTCTCAAATGCCTGTTTAATACCGACGTCTCATAGAACCTTTTCCCGCAGGTGTTGCAAAGGTACGGCTTCTCATCGGTGTGGGCTCTTCTCATGTGGATTGTTAACTCATGTTTAAGTTTGAAATCTTTCCCACATGTTTTACAAATAAACGGCCTCTCACCTGTGTGGATTCTCGTGTGGATCAGCAAGCCGTCACGACGTCTGAACCCTTTTCCACATGTTTTACAAGAATATGGTTTCTCACCTGTGTGGACTCTCGTGTGGATTTTTAACTCGCTATTGTAGGGGAAATCTTTCCCGCATGTTTTGCAGGAGAACGGCTTCTCTCCAGTGTGGGTTCTCACATGGACCAACAAGTCACTATTAAGTCTGAAATCTTTCCCACATGTTTTACAAGTATATGGCTTCTCACCTGTGTGGATCCTTTCGTGTCTTTTCAAAACCGCCATGTCACAGAATCTTTTCCCACAGGTCTTGCAAAGGCACGGCTTCTCACCTGTGTGGACTCTCGCGTGTTTCCACAAAAGTGATGGAAACTTAAAGTCTTTCCCACATTTTTCACATTTGAAAGACTTCTCACCTGTGTCGGTATCACGGTGGATCTCTGATGAGTCCGAGTTGTTTACAGTGTGGTCTTGTCTTCTGCTTTTGCGACGACTTCTCTTTGGTTTTGGTTCTGCATTTCTAGTTGCTCCTGAGTCTCCATGTTTGTCTCCTCTCTGATCTTGGCTCTCAGCTTCAGGAGAGTTGTGAGAGAGGAGCGGGTGGTAACTGTGTGCTTCTGATCGCACAGAGTTTATAACTGGCATGTTCCCTACAGACTCTTCGTCTGCTGTACTCAGAGTGTCATCAGGACTGAAGTTCAGAGTCTGATCTTCACTGTGGTCTCTTTCCTCATGAGTAGGAGTCAACATGGAGGCATCAGTCTCCTGCTTCAGTACAAGCTGCTCTCCCTCCTGACTGGTGCAGAGTTCCTCCTCTTCCTCTTTAATCTGTGGAGGCTCTGGCTCCTCTTGGTCCACACTGGAGTTCCTCTCCTGAATACAGAGCTGCTGCTCAGAGAGAACCTCCCCCTCCTTACAGACATGTTGCTGTGGGAGCTCTGGAGGGACACACAACAAAGGGAACACGATACTACTGTGATCTCTTTTTATTGATTTGTCGAAAGCATTTGACACAGTTGACCACGATATTTTAAAACTTAGACTCTTGCAATTAGGACTCTCGGAGCAAGCAGTTACTTGGTTCACTAACTATCTCAGTAATAGGACTCAGTGCATTAAATATGATGGCCTGTGTTCTGATATTGTTACTGTCCACAAGGGGGTGCCACAGGGTTCTGTATTAGGTCCCCTTTTATTCATTATTTATATCAATGATTTGGGTATAAATGTGACAAATGCTAATTTGCATTTCTATGCTGATGACACAATTATTTACTGCTGTGGATCAACTCTTGTTCAGGCCATTGAATCCCTGCAGAAAGCCTTTGTTGCTGTCCAGCACTCATTACTTCAGCTGAAACTTGTTCTCAATGCAGACGAGACTAAGCTTATGCTGTTCTCTAATTCTAGGAAGAGGCCACAAATTATCCCCTCAGTGACCACTCTCGAGGGAAATGAAATAGAGGTGGTTCACGAGTATAAATACCTGGGTGTTTTGATTGATGCCTCCCTCACTTTCAAGCCGCATATAGAGAAATTAGTGAAGAAGCTGAGGATAAAATTGGGTTTTTACTTTCGAAATAAGCTATGTTTTTCTTTTAATGCAAAAAAGCGACTTGTTGCTGCTACCTTTTTACCAGTGTTGGATTATGGAGATCTTTTATATATGAATGCATCTGCTAAATGTCTTCATATGGTTGACACTGTCTATCACGCTTCTCTGAGGTTCATTACTAATTGTAAACCATTGACACACCACTGTGAGTTATACTCTCGGGTTGGATGGGCTGCTCTGGCCACCCAAAGGCTCAGTCATTGGTATACTTTTATATATAAGGCATTACTTGGTCTACTGCCTTCCTACATTTGTTCCTTAATTGCACAGAGAAGTGCTGGTCCTTACTCCTTTCATTCGCAAGACTACTTGTTGCTTTCTGTTCCATATGCCCGTACTGAACTGGGTAAAAAGGCTTTTGTCTACTCTGCACCTTCAGCACGGAATATGTTGCAAAATGACTGGAAACTAACAGGGTTAATTTCTTTGAGCACCTTTAAATCCAAACTAAGAATATTTGAGGCTGATTCCACTACATGTACTTGTTTTTCATAATCTGCTTGTAAATTCAATACTATTTGTTTGTGTTTTATCTGTGTAATTTGTAACTGTCCCTCGTACGTGCTGCTGCCTATCTTGGCCACGTCTCCCTTGAAAAAGAGGTTGTTAATCTCAATGGGATCTTCCTGGTTAAATAAAGGTTAAAGAAAAAAAAGAAATGGTGGAGAAACACACATTTGAGCAAATAAATACAACTAATAATTCAAAGCCATACTCCTCTGTAAGTTTTATAGACCTTTAAAGTTGTACCCACCTATCCTGTTCAGCCTTATTTCAGGTTTCCAAACGACATCCAACAGCCTCCTCTGACGGTCGATCTCTTCTTCATACTTGACGATAGTTTTATGAAAAACTCCGAATATTTCTTGAGCAGCAGCAGTTAGTCTCTCATTAACAAACTCTCTCAGATACTCAGCTGAAGACATTGTTGCTTTATTACAAAATAAATCACTATCTGTGCTGCGACTGTCGTTTTCCAGCTAATTCAACACGTTCATGCAGCTAACAGTTAGCGCCGGTAGTGTTTACTTCCGGTGGAGTCACACTGTCGCGTTCCGACAGCGGACGTGAGCTAAGCGTTTTGTTCGTTCCGCTTTCAACTATGTTCAAACACAGTGTTGGTGAGTTTGATATTGGCTGCTTTTTAATTGAATAATATTGTTTATAGCTGAAATAATCGATGTAGTTGGAACATGGTGGCTTAATTCTACATCTGTCTGTCTGTGGCTCCCATAGCTTTGTTCAAGGCATCATTTTGTGCCAGTCTAATTTGAACAGGTGTGATCAACTTAAGCATTATTGACTATCTATCTTACCTATCTGTCTGGCTAGCTAGCTATGCTCTTTGTCACATTTCACCAGGTTGGTTGGCATCCAGTCACCCTTCTTGTCTATGAACTAAGTAATACTGTTAAATAAATATTCAATGTATTTGGATTTTGGTGGCCTGATTTTAATGTAGCACCCATCTATGGCAACCAAATCATTGCCAAAAAGATGACCATGTGTCTGATATCTGCTGCAGTGTTCATCAATATATTTGAAATACATAATATTTATAAGCAGTTATGACATAAAAAATTCTGACATCTGACAAATCCACACAAGCCAACACAACATAAGTCATCCAAATCACACCATCAGTGTAACAGCCACCACTGTGCAGTTTACTTTATTTGGGAGATTACAGTTGTTTCAAACATAAAATATTGAGAAATGTAACATTCATGTGAAGCAAAATTTTACAGCAAGATATTGACATATCAACTTTGTGGGAAATAAACTGTATGAAGTAACAGATGTGGCAAAAGTGTTTCATTCAGTTGGTGAACACGTCTCCACAGGAGGTTCAGCTCAACGGTTTCTCCTGCAAATGTTCCCTTGGATTTTCTTTCTTTTCCAAATATGTGATTTGAGAAAAAAAAATCCCCAAGTGCTGCAGTTATTGGGGTTCTCACTTGTATGTGTTACAACAGAAAACTACGTGTCTGTGTGCACGCTTGTATGACTTTGCAGTTCAGACACTGAAACAAATCTTTCCCCGCAGGTCTGGCAAAGATGCGACTCCTCGTCAGCGTGGGCTCTTTTCATGTGGACTGTCAATTCATAGTTCCGCCTGAAATCTTTACCACATGTTTTACAGGTGAACGGCTTCTCACCTGTGTGGATTCTCGTGTGGAGCAGCAAGCCGTCACGACGTCTGAACTCTCGTCCACACGTTTTGCATGAATATGGTTTCTCACCCGTGTGGATTCTCATGTGGCTTTTAAAGTCACTGTTATATCCAAAATCTTTCCCACATATTTTGCAGGTATACGGATTGTCGCCAGTGTGGATTCTCATGTGGACTGTCAAGCCACTATGAAGTCTGAAATCTTTCCCACATGTTTGACAGGTATAAGGCCGCTCACCTGTGTGGATTCTCACATGCCTTTTCAACACTGACATCTCACAGAAACTTTTCCCACAGAACTTGCAAAGGTACGGCTTCTCACCTGTGTGGGCTCTTCTCATGTGGACTGTCAGCTCATAGTTACGTCTGAAAGCTTCCCCACATGTGTTACATATAAACTGCCTCTCATCTGTGTGTGTTCTTACGTGTGCCAACAAGTGACTATTATATCCAAAATCTTTCCCACATATTTTGCAAGAATACGGCTTCTGACCTGTGTGGATACTCGTGTGCCTTTTCAATGACAACATGTCGCAGAATCTCTCCCCACAAAACTTGCAAAGGTACGGCTTCTCACCAGTGTGGGCTCTTCTTGTGTGGATTTTCAACTCACCGTTGTGTTTGAACGCCCTCCCACATGTTTTGCATGTAAATGGCTTCTCACCTGTGTGTATTCTCATGTGGGCCAACAAGCCGCTGTTATATATAAAACCTTTTCCACATATTTTGCAAGAGTATGGCTTCTCACCTGTGTGGACTCTCAGGTGTTTCCAAAATGCTGCCCTATACTTAAACTCATTCCCACACTTTTCACATTTGAAAGTCTTTTTACCTGTGTGAGTATTACAGTGAATCTCTGAGAAGTTAGAGTTGTTCACAGTGCTACTGTAACCTCTGCTTTTGTGACGTCTTTTCTTTGGTTTTGGTTCTGCGTTTCTAGTCGATCCCGAGTCTCCATGTTTGTCTCCTCTTTGATGTTGGCTCTCAGCTGCAGGAGAGCTGTGAGAGAGGAGCTGGTGGTAACTGTGTTCTTCTGATACCACGGGGCTTATACCTGATACATCGACCTGAAACTCCTCCTCTGCTGCACTCAGAGTGTTGTCAGAATTGAAGTTCAGGTTCTGATCTTCACCGTGGTCACTGTCCTCATAAGGAGGGATCAACATGGAGGCGTCAGTCCCATGCTCTTCCTCCTCTTCCTCTTTAATCTGTGGAGGCTCTGGCTCCTCTTGGTCCACACTGGAGTTCCTCTCTTCAATACAGAGCTGCTGCTCAGAGAGAACCTCCTCCTCCTTACACACATGTTGCTGTGGGAGCTCTGGAGGGACACACAACAGAAGGAACACGATACTACTGTGATGGTGGAGAAGAAGATGCAGACATGGCAGTAATTTAGTACCAGTATAAAAACTGAGGTTATATTTAAGTTGAAATCCTGCACTTTAACCTATGAAAATTAACACACTTTACACACCCGTACTGTGCAACTTAATTTGGGGTTCCCACACGATATTCATCAACATTTTCCTCTGACGGTCGAGCTCTTCTTCATACTCGACGATAGTTTTCTGAAAAACTCCGAATATTTCTTGAGCAGCAGCAGTTAGTCTCTCATTAACAAACTCTCTCAGATACTCAGCTGAAGACATTGTTGCTTTATTACTAATTAAATAATCATCTGCGCCGCGACTGCCGCATTCCAGCTAATTTGACAAGTACTAGCCTTCATCCAGTATCTCTGCTTCTACTTGTTTACTTCCGCGTGATGTCACACTCCAAAGTTCCGACAGCGGAAGTGAGCCAGGCGTTCCGTTCGTTCCGCTTTCAGATAATGTCCATAACACTGCTGATGTGATGGATGTTAACTGCTTTTTCAATTATATAATATTGTTTGTAGTTGAAATAATAAGTCTAGTTGGATTTTGATGGTTTTATTCTAACGTGGCACCATCTCTGCCTCACATAGCATCGTTTTGTGCCAGTCTTGACAAGCTCATCTCAGTTACAGCATTACTGAGGTTTGGGGGAATAAGTTGACTTTGTGTTTTTGTTCTGTTTGATGCCTGTTGCAATTCTGTGTATGAGAACATGTACAGGGGATTTTGGAACATAAAATACTTGAGCTGTGACATCATAAGATGCTCCATGAGAAAGTCAGTAAAGAAATTAGAGGTGATATCTCCTGGGTCAGAGAGGTGATGGCACAGCTAAAGCTAGAGGAGCTGAGATATTGCAGTCAGGGACGTATTAAAAAATACCATAAGGCATAGCAGCCCTTCTTGGACTACTTTAACAACCCTCCATGTGCCAGGTTAAGGTCTCCCCCTTGATTTAGTTTATCAACTTAATTATTTTAAATATTATTGAATTTATTTCAATGTAATTTCGCTTACTTATCTATTTTACTGTGATTATTGATCTTACCATTGATTTGTTTTTAGTTAAAAATTGTGCGCAAAGGAAACACTTTGCACATCTATTAAAAAAGACAGGTGCGTTGGAGAGAGAAGACCAGAAAGTTGCAAAAAGGACTCCCGCACACTGTCTAACTTGCAATAAATAATTTATTTATCATGTTTGGGTACTAGACCTTCATCAGGCAAACCAGTTAAAAAATTGTGGGAAATTGAATTTCCCCTTGGGGATTAATAAAGTATATACAATTGAATTAAAATATATGTCTTACTTTACCTCACCTACTTGTTCTTTTCATTACTGTTTGCCCATGTACTGTGTTCTTTTTGTACAGATTACCTAAAGCAATAATAACAGTTAAAAGAGAAGTGACATCTCCAGCTGTGATCTCAGTGCAGCACTCAAAATAATTTTATCTGTTTTGTCAGGTTTTCATCTTTCAATTTCATATAGAATTTCCATCCAATTAGGTCAAAAACCAAAGCAATAATTTATGTAATTAAATCAAACTGAGCTCATAGATTATGAGAATTTATGTAACAATAGTTCACAGAATTTACTTAAATTTACCTTAAAGTTTATGTAACTACTGTTAATAAATTCTGTATATTTTAAATATGTTGGTAATTCATAGAATTTACGAACCGTAATTACATTAAAAAAAAAAATATTTTGACATCTGGCAAATGTTATTATTCACACAAATCAACACAAGAATCAGTCAGTCAGATAATACCATTAGTGTAACAGCCACAGCTGTGCACTCAGCTAACATTTTCCTTTATTCGGTAGATTACAGTTGTTTCAAAGAACTACTTACCAAACAGAAAAAAAAGCAATATAGTCATGTGAAAGGAAAATTTACAGCAAGATATCAACATCTCATCTTTATTGAAAATATGATATATTCAGCTAAGGAGATGTAGTGACTGCAAAAGTATGTTTTATTCATTTGGTGAACACGTTTCAACTCCCTGGTTTCTCCTGTGTGCATCAGGGTTCACACACACTTTCATACTTTAGTTATTTTGTTGCAATTCCATGTTCTTAAATGAATAATTAAAATATTGTTTTACTAAATTGTCATACTGTCAAGAATATTGTTATCGCACAAATACTCTGAAACATTGTGATATTATTTTAGGGCCACATTGCCCACCCCTACATGATAATAAGGTATCATGGTGACTCCCACCCTGAACAGCTACACACAATAAATTTGCCGTTACGTTAAATAATGTGGAAGATTATCCATGAGAGATTATTGTAACAATTTCATTACAAACAATAAATTCCATGACTTTTCAAAACTTTCAAGAATTTAGCTAATTCTATGACCTTTCCAGGCATGGAAAAAAGACTTTGTGAAATTTCTATGACTCTTCCAGGTTTTCCATGACTGTGGGAACCCTGTATATTGAACCTCTGGTATTTTTTAAAGTATGTGATAAGAAGTGCTGCAATTATGTGGCTCCTCCTCACTTCCAGTGGGATACTACTTGTCTGTATGCACACTTATATGACTTTCCAATTCAGACTCTGAGTCAAATCTTTCCCCGCAGGTCTTACAAAGGAATGGCTCCTCATCACTGTGGGCTCGTCTCATGTGGACTGTCAATTCATAGTTACGTCTGAAATCTTTCCCGCATGTTTTACAGGTAAACGGCTTCTCGCCCGTGTGGATTCTCGTGTGGACCAGCAAGTCACTATTACGTCTGAAATCTTTCCCACATGTTTTACAGGTATATGGCTTATCGCCTGTGTGGATTCTCAAATGCCTTTTCAATACAAACAAGTCACAGAAACTTTTCCCACAGGTGTTGCAAAGGTACGGCTTCTCGTTAGTGTGGGCTCTTCTCATGTGGACTGTTAATTCATAGTTACGTCTGAAATCTTCCCCACATGTTTGGCATGTAAACGGCCTCTCACCTGTGTGTGTTCTCATGTGTGCCAACAAGTGACTGTTATATCCAAAGTCTTTCCCACACGTTTCGCAAGTATACGGTTTCTCACCAGTGTGGACTCTCATGTGGACCAACAACTCACTTTTAAGTCTGAAATCTTTCCCACACGTTTTACAACTATACGGTTTCTCCCCTGTGTGGATTCTCTCATGCCTTTTCAGCACTGACATTGCGGAGAATCTTTTACCGCAGAACTTGCAGAGGTTCTGCTTCTCTCCTGTGTGGGCTCTTCTCATGTGGACTTTCAACATACCGTTGTGTTTGAAAGCTCTCCCACATGTTTTGCATGTGAACGGCCTCTCAACCCTGTGTGTGCTCATGTGGGCCAACAAGCTGCTGTTATACGTGAACTCTTTTCCACATGTTTTGCAAGAATATGGCTCCTCATCTGGGTGTATTCTCAGGTGCTTCCACAGTGCTGACTTATACTTAAACTCGCTGCCACATTTTTCACACTTAAAGGATTTAATCTCAGTCAAGTCAGAGTTGTTGTCATTGTTGCCCTGACTTCTGCTTTTGTGATTTCTTTTCTTTGGTTCTGCATTTCTAGTTGATCCCGAGTCTCCATGTTTGCCTTCTTTCTGATCTTGGCTCTCAGCTTCAGGAGAGTTGTGAGAGACGAGCTGCTGGTCACTGTTAGCTTCTGATACAGCTGGGCTTGTAACTGATACGTCAATTTCAAACTCCTCCTCTGCTGCACTCAGAGTGTCGTCGGAATTGAAGTTCAGAGTCTGATCTTCACTGTGGTCTCTTTCCTCATGAGTAGGAGTCAACATGGAGGCATCAGTCTCCTGCTTCAGTACAAGCTGCTCTCCCTCCTGACTGGTGCAGAGTTCCTCCTCTTCCTCTTTAATCTCCTGAATACAGAGCTGCTGCTCAGAGAGAACCTCCTCCTCCTTACACACATGTTGCTGTGGGAGCTCTGGAGGGACACACAACAGAAGGGACACGATACTAATGCGATGGTGGAGAAGAAAATAATGCAGACATGCCAGCAAATTAGTAAAACTGGGATTCTATATAAATCGATTTCCTCCATTTTATGTTATTAAAAGCAATATTCTTTACACACCCTTGCTGTGTAACTTTATTTGAGGTTCCCAAACGATATTCATCAACAGCCTCCTCTGACGATTGATCTCTTCTTCATACTCGACGATAGTTTTATGAAAAACTCCGAATATTTCTTGAGCAGCAGCAGTTAGTCTCTCATTAACAAACTCTCTCAGATACTCAGCTGAAGACATTGTTGCTTATTCGTAATACAAATCACTATCTGCGCTGCGACTGTCGTTTTCCAGCTAATTCAACATATACATGCTAACAGTTAGCGCTCGTATTGTTTACTTCCGGTGGATGTCACCCTGTGAAGTTCCGAAGGCGGAAGTGAGCTCGCTGTTCCGTTCGTTCCGCTTACTCAATAATTGAGTAATATTGTTTGTGATTGAAATAATCGATACAGTTGGATTTTGGTGTCTTGATTCTAATGTGGCTCCCACAGCTTTGTTAATACATTATTTTGTGCCTGTCTTTAAAAGCTCTGATCAACTCCAGCATCACTGACTAACAGCAGTATTGAGGTTTGTGGGGGAACCTTCATATCTGCTGCAGTTCTGTGCATGATAACAAGTACAATGGGTTTTGGAGCATCAGATGCTCGAGCAAGTTAGTAGAGAAAAATCAGAAGATCTGAGTGGTGTCCCCGGTTATGATCTCAGTGCAAATCTCAGGCTAGTTATTTGGTCTGTTTTGTCAGGTTTATATATTTCAGTTACATATATATTCATCTTCAATTAAGTCAAAATAAAACACTACCAATTATGTAATTAAATCAAATAAAACTGAAATGGGTACACAGAGAATTTCTGTAACTATAGCTCATAGTTTCCCCAATTTACTTCAATTAATTTTATGTAATTCCTATTAATAAATTCAGTGTATTTCAAATGTCATATGACATACACATAATGCATATTTTCATATTTATTTTGTTTGTATATAATTATAAAATATATTTGAAATAATCTGAAATTCATTAACAATAAAAAAAGCTACAATTTATATAATTTAATTAAATAAAACTGTGATGAATACACTGAGAATTTATGTAACTGTAGCTCATAGAGTTTCCCCAATTTACTTCAATTAATTTTATGTAATTCCTATTAATAAATTCAGTGTATTTCAAATGTCATATGACATACACATAATGCATATTTTCATATTTATTTTGTTTGTATATAATTATAAAATATATTTGAAATAATCTGAAATTCATTAACAATAAAAAAAGCTACAATTTATATAATTTAATTAAATAAAACTGAGAATTTATGTAACTATAGCTCATAGAATTTCCCCAATTTACTTCAATAAAGTTTATGTAATTACTGTTACTAAATTTTGTGTATTTCAAATGTCATATTTGACATATAAGGAGTGCATTTTGTATATATTTATGTAATGTCATATTTGAAATAATCTGACAATAGTTGCATCAAAAAAATTCCGACATCTGATAAATGCAGTTATCCACACAAGCTGACACAAGAATCATTCATCCACATCACACCATTATTACAACAGCCACCACTGTGCACTCACACTGATACTAACATTTTCCTTTATTGAGGCGATTAGTTATTTCGCAGAAATACTCAAGAAATATTCAGCAGAAATGTAAGCAGTGCAGTCACGTGAAGCGAATTTTACAGCAAGATATACTGACATCACATCTTTATTGAAAGCATTTTACAAGTTAAAGGGATAGTTCAGATTTTTGCAAATGGGATTGTATTGTGAACTTGCATAATGTAGTGTTGGGTATGTCTTGTCTTTTTAACATATATATTGAATTTATTTATTGTATTTTAGTACATAGACAATTGTCGGTTTTTATGTGGTGGTATTATTATTATGGGGTATTTACCCATAGTGAGTGCATTATGTACAGTAGATGTCAGTCAGCACGCCACTAGTTTGGAGAAGCAGGCTGGAGTCTGACAGAAGCTATGCAATGACCTGCTGTGGAGGGGTTAGTGACAAAATGTATTTAAAATAAGTCCCAATTAAAATAAAATTAATATCAGTTTAAGTGAGTCTGGCGACCTGTCCAGGGTGTACCCTGCCTCTCGCCCGATGTCAGCTGGGATAGGCTCCAGCCCCCCTGCGACCCTCAAGAGGATGAAGCGGTTAGAAGATGAATGAATGAATGAATGAATCAGTTTAAGTGTATGCTATATTTTAATGACAGACAGTAATTTCCAGTGAGAAATGAAGCTGTTAAAGCGCTCTCTTCAAAGCCAGACCCCACTAAGAAAAACAGTGATTTAACATCGCTGAACACAGGAGCTGCTGGTCTACTGCTGTCGCAAACGGTTATTCTGTTTGTTATTGTGTGACCTCAGCATTTATAAGGGTTAGTTCAGACTCACCAAAGTCACACAATAGCACAAACAGACTAAGTGATAGAGGCAGCAGTAGTCCAGACACTCCTGTGTGCAGTGAGCTAAAGTGACTATTTTTCTCAATGGAGTCTGGTGGCTTTGACAAGAGCACAGATGGGGAATTGAAGGTGTTCCCCGTTGAAACAGGCTGTCTAAAGGAAAGGTAAGACAAAGCAGTGAAAATACTGTCAGTATAGCGTACACTTAAACTGATACAGATTTGTTTTAGGTGGGGCTTTTTTACGTTTTGTGTTTGACTCCTTCAGAGCAGTACATTGCTTGGCCTCTGTGTTGGACTGTGTTGCTTTTTTCTCCAATCTGGGGGCATACTGACAGACATCTAGTGTATGTAGCACAGTGATTATGGATAAGAACCCCGTACAACCACACTTAAAAAATACTGAACTATCCCTTGAAGGAGATGTAGCAACAGCAGAAGTATGTTTCATTCAGTTAGTGAACACGTCTCCACAAGAGTTTCAACTCAATGGTTTCTCCTGTGTTTGTTGCTCTGGTATTTTAGTGCTGCCATGATGTGGCTCCTCACTTGTGTCAGTTCAAATTGAATACTACTGGTCTGTATGAACGCTTACATGCCTTTCCAATTCAATTATCGAAACAAAAATTTTCCCACAGGTGTTGCAAAGGTACGGCTTCTCATCAGCGTGGACTCTTCTCATGTGGACTGACAAATCATAGTTACGTATGAAAGCTTGCCCACATGTCTGGCACGTAAACGGCTTCTCGCCTGTGTGTGTTCTCATGTGGGCCAACAAATGACTGTTATATCCAAAATCTCTCCCACACGTTTTACAAGTGTACAGCTTCTTACCTGTGTGACTCCTCATGTGGACCCACAAGTCACTATTCTGTCTGAAATCTTTCCCACATGTTTTACAAGTGTACAGCTTCTCACCTGTGTGGATGCTAATATGCCTTTTCAATACTGAAACGTCACAAAATCTTTTCCTGCAGAACTTGCAAGAGTACGGTTTCTCACCAGTGTGGGCTCTTCTCATGTGGACTGTCAGCTCATAGTTACGTTTGAAATCCTCCCCACACGTTTTGCATGTAAAAAGCCTCTCGTCTGTGTGTGTTACCATGTGGGCCAACAAGTCTTTATTAAGTCTGAAATCTTTTCCACATGTTTTACAACTATATGGTGTCTCACCTGTGTGGATTCTCTCATGCTTTTTCAACACTGAAATCGCACAGAATCTTTTCCCGCAGAACTTGCAGAGGATAGGCTTGTCACTCGTCTGGACTCTGACTCTGTGGTTTTTCAAATCACAGCTGTGTTTGAAAGCTCTCCCACAGGTTTTGCATGTAAATGGCCTCTCACCCCTGTGTGTGCTGATGTGTTTCAACAACTGGCTATTATATATAAAATCTTTTCCACATATTGTGCAGGAATGTGGCCTCTCGGCCGTGTGGACTCTCATGTGTTTCCACAATGTTGACTTAAAATTAAAGTCTTTCCCACATTTTTCACATCTGAAGGACTTTTCACCTGTGTGAGCATGACGGTAAAAGTCTGATATGTTCGGGTTGTTCACAGTGTTATCATGATTTTTGCTTTTGTGACGTCTTTTCTTTGGTTTTGGTTCTGCGTCACTAGTTGTTCCCAAGTCTCCATGTTCGCTGTCTTCCTGATCTTGGCTCTCAGCTTCATGAGAGCTGTGAGAGAGGAGCGGGTGGTAACTGTGTTCTTCTGACACCACAGGGCTTGAACCTGGTGCACTGAACTCTGATTCCTCCTCTGCTGCACTGAGAGCATCATCATGACTGAAGTTCAGAGTCTGACCTTCACTGTGGTCACTGTCCTCATAAGGGGGGATCAACATGGAGGCGTCAGTCTCATGCTCTTCCTCCTCTTCCTCTTTAATCTGTGGAGGCTCTGGCTCCTCTTGGTCCACACTGGAGTTCCTCTCCTGAATACAGAGCTGCTGCTCAGAGAGAACCTCCTCCTCCTTACACACATGTTGCTGTGGGAGCTCTGGAGGGACACACAACAGAAGGGACACGATGCTCATGGGATGGTAGAGAGGAAAATAACACAGACATGCCAGCAAATTATTAAAAAACTGAAATGAATGAGCTTTAATCACCCTTGCTGTGTGACTTTTTTGGGGGCTCCCAAACGATATTCATCAACAGTTTGCGCTGACGATTGATCTCTTCTTCATACTCGACGATAGTTTTATGAAAAACTCCGAATATTTCTTGAGCAGCAGCAGTTAGTCTCTCATTAACAAACTCTCTCAGATACTCAGCTGAAGACATTGTTGCTTATTCGCAATACAAATCACTATCTGCGCTGCGACTCTCGTTTTCCAGCTAATTCAAAATATACATGCTAACAGTTAGCGCTTGTATTTACTTCCGGTGGGTGTCACCCCGTGAAGTTTCGACAGCGGAAGTGACCTCACTGTTCTGTTCGTTCCGTTGTTTGTGATTTAAATAATCGATAGTTAGATTTTGGTGTCTTGATTCTAATGTGGCTCCCACAGCTTTGTTAATGCATCATTTTGTGCCTGTCTTTAAAAGCTCTGATCAACTCCAGCATCACTGACTAACAGCAGTATTGAGGTTTGTGGGGGAACCTTCATATCTGCTGCAGTTCTGTGCATGATAACAAGTACAATGGGTTTTGGAGCATCAGATGCTCGAGCAAGTTAGTAGAGAAAAATCAGAAGATCTGAGTGGTGTCCCCGGTTATGATCTCAGTGCAGAACTCTTTGCAGAATTAATTATTTGGTCTGTCACATTTTCATATTTAAATCACAAAAAGAATATCTTTTCATCTGAGTAAAAAACAAATCAAAAAATTTTTTATGGAATTAAATCAAACTGGCATGAATACACTGAGAATTTATGTAACTGTAGCTCATAGAATTTGCCCAATTTACTTCAACTAATTTTATGTAATTACTGATAATAAATTATACATATTTCAAATACATATAATCTATTAACAATAGTTGCATCAAAAATTTCCGACATCTGACAAATGCAGTTATCCACACAAGCTGACACAAGAATCATTCATCCACATCACACCATNTGGGGAGGTAGACTGTACAGCCTAACCCGGCGGGGGAGTGTGATAGCCTAACAAGGCTTCCTTCCCTGGGTCTACCTCCTCTGTGGTAGTATAGGTAAGGTAAAGGAGGTTGTTCGGTTAGTGTGGGGAGCAGTGAGACCTGGCATTAGGGGAGTGTCTCTGGGACGCCAGAGATCACTGTCTAGCCTCCTGGAGGTGTCGTGGGACCAACTAGACGAAACACCGGTGAAAGGAGGTTCCCACCCGATGACCCCAAAGACATGTTAGTTATCACTGCTCACTGGTCTGTATAGTTAAGCCTTGCCATAATAGCTTATCATAGGGCTTAGGAGGTTATTCACTGAGTGCTGATCCTTTTTTTTTTTTTTTTTAGAGCACAAACTTCTTGTGTTTATTTGAATGAATTTCACAAAAATACTCAAGAAATATTCACAAAACAAAAATGTAAGCAGTGCAGTCACGTGAAGCAAAACTTTACAGCAAGATATATTTACATCTCATCTTTATTGAAAACATGTTATAATCAGTTAAAGGGAAATTTCGATTTATTTCAACCTGTCTCCTATCGTCCTAAATTTGTTTCAAGTAACTAGTGACATAAAAATAATAGTTAGCATGTTAGCCGTTAGCCTAGACACAGCCGGGGCGCATAGTAGCGTCAGACCTGTTAAAACGTAAGTGAACGGGCAACCTTCAAGTGCAAAGTTAGTCCACTAAACAAGCTTTTTTTCCACAAAGACCTCCTCATATCGTTAGGATAAATGTCAGAGAACATATAGAAAACGACACGTAAACGTGTTGTCTTACCTTACCGGTGTGCTGCCATGTTTGTTTACCATTTAGCTCTGCTTTCCAAAGCGCGGCCGAAATATCGCGAGAACAAGCAGTGATCTCATACCGTGCCTGAACAAGCAGCAACAGCTGGAAGGATACACTGACAAAGAGCTTCATGGAATTGAAGAACGGAGGAGGAGAGAGAGAGGCGCAACAGGTAGAGGACGAGAGAGGAGGAATGGCTGCTGCAAGGCTGCGTAGCTCTGCAGATTGGTGGTGTACCTGTGAATGCTGTGCCCCAGTGCCCACAGCAGAGGAATGCCTCTGTTGCAAGGAATGGGACCGGTTGCAGCCTTATTTTCAAGGTCTGGATGTGACCGAGGACGAGACACCT